AACTCCCAACTACAATCTCAAACGTACGTTAAAATTTCTTATTTAATACAATATTATATATTGTAAATACTTTTTTAAGATTAAAAAAATATGAACATTAAAAAAAATAGATAACTAAATTCAAATATGTCAAATTAAAAATTAAATATTTATTCTACTGGAGGAAATTTAGGATGGAATTAGGGATGTAAGCACGCATGTTGATGCTGGTTAGGATATAGGATAGGAAAAGAAGAGCCGGATACGATTTACGGTGTTTTTTTGGGCAAATCGAACATTTTGATTTTAATTAGCCCAACCTATTATGATATTTGACAACATTAGCAGGCCGATACCCTCGTAGCCCAGTCGTTGTTTTTGTAATTTTGTTATGTCTTCAAAAAATAGAGAGGAGGAGAAGGTATGGTAGGAAGGTTAGTTTTGTAGGGTCAGCAAAGCAAACACAGATTGTTTCAAGAAAAAAGGAAAAAATAGAGGTGAGGCGTGAACCACATTTCTATTGTGACAAGGAACGATTGTGACTTTGATGTGATGAAAAAAGAAGAAGAAGAAGAAGAAGAAAAGGTTGTAATTATAATATATACTAAAATGCATTATTGAGGAGGGTTAGCATAAACTTTATATGCGGAGAGCATTGATTGACATGAATTATTATATATGAAAAGGACAGCATTTTGGGTTTTTCTGTCAAAAATCAAAATAATATCACTTGGCAAGGAATATTCATAGGATTAATGAGAAAGGGGGAACTGAGATGATGTTTCACAAAACAGCTCCTACTGGGATTCAACATTATAATTACCCTCAGGGACCACTTCATGCATCATACACTAGTTAATTACTATTACATTGCCTCTACTTAATTGTCTTCTTCTCTCCATGCATCCTCCCTTTTTTTTTTTTTTTTTTCCTATTTATGTGTTATGATTTTTTCCTTCAAATATCTTCTTTTTTTCGAACCTACTCTATGAGCAAATGACTTTAATCATTTTTATAAAGTTTATATCTCTATCTTTAAAAATAACGGTTCAAACTGATCTCATAATTGATTGAATGTTTAAAATATATATATATATATATATATATATCTTCTTTCTTTCTTTCTTTGTGGGAGTCTGGGACTCTTATCTCTCCTTATCTCTCCTTATCTCGATCACAAATTAAAGCTACCCTCAAACCTCAGCCACAGATTCTTTCAACACAGATATGCCTTTCGTATCTCAGTAGAATTCATCAATTAATATTTCTGCCAAATTTTCACACCTTTTTTTTTTTCTTTATAAACTTGTTATTAAATTATCATTATCCATCCCTTTATATATATACACGTGTATATATACGTTTAATGGTTTATTTTATATATTTCTTTTTATTATTATTATTATTTTTTATAAGCATAGCTTGATCGACTTCTCATGTGGGGTTGTGCCAATGGCCTGGATCCTGCTCATCATTGACTACTCCGCTCTTTTGGCTATGAGGATCATGTTGGAAATTAAGCCATTACCAAGGATTTAATGTCCATTCCAGTTCTTAAACTATTTTTCCGCTTTTGCCAATTTCATTATTTACTGCTTTCTTTCTTTCTTTGGGTTCCTTTCCATCTTCTTCTTGATATCTCAAGAGTCACATATGTCTGAAACCAGGATGGAGCATGGATATCTGGAAACCGATCCTACTGGTCGGTATGGTAGAGTAAGTTCCATATCCAATATCTTCTCTTTGATTTCTTCTTTTCACACACACACATATATGTATATCTTCATTTTTTTTTAATTTTTAATTTACTTGCATAATCTGTGAATATATATTTTTTACATTGATTCAATTTGCAAAATATTTCATACAGCCTGTGTGGTTGATGGTTTCTTTTTCATATATATGCATGCTGTGTAGATATTATCAACTTGGATTAGTTTTCCATTTTATGTTTTTTGCCTTTACAGGCAGGTTCCCAGCCTGTGGGCAGATTTTTAAAGTATAGAATTACTTCCATCAGACACCGGTAAATTTTTGTGAAGCTGCAGTGTTAGATACAGTGATCTCCGCTGCCTTGCTGTATCTGTTTGGGAATGGAAATGTTGTTGTATATGATCATTTTTTTTTTCTTGTTTTTCCCATTTTTTCCCTTTTTTTTCCTTTTTTTTATTTTTTAATTTTTTTATGGTTGGTGTTCATTGGATAATTACATATGAGACTCCTAGAATTTTGATTCTCCAAAGTTAATATTCCATGGTTTGAAGCAACTACGTTCATAGGTAATATTGCAAGTGTTGTAGAGGTTCAGAGTTTGGTTTGATGATGGTTGAGTGCAAAGTGATTGATTTCAAATTTTAAATGCATTACTGATTGGGAGACATTTTTGATGTTTCCAACAGTTTGAACAAGTTCTTGGCAGAGGTGCAATGAAAACAGTATATAAGGCAATTGATGAGCTCCTTGGAATGGAGGTGGCATGGAACCAGGTAAAGCTCAATGAGGTGTTACGCTCTCCTCATGATTTGGAGAGGCTATACTCCGAAGTTCACCTCCTTAGCACCCTCAATCATGACTCCATCATTAGATTCTACACCTCCTGGATTGATGTTGACCACAAGACTTTCAACTTCATCACTGAAATGTTCACTTCAGGAACTCTCAGAGAGTAATTTTCTTAATTTTCCTGTCATAACTATTAATTGGGAATATTATATTAGTATAGGAGGCCGCCCGGCTAACATTTTATTCTTAATGTACCAATTAAGAAATAACCAAAAACTTTTCTGTTATCTTATTTCTTCAGATACAGGAACAAATATAACCGAATGGATATCCAAGCCATTAAGAACTGGGCTCGCCAAATATTAGAGGGCCTTGTTTACCTACATGGTCATGATCCCCCGGTAATTCACAGGGACCTTAAGTGTGACAATATATTTGTCAATGGTCATCTTGGAAAAGTCAAGATTGGTGATCTAGGCCTTGCTGCAATTCTCCAAGGATCCCAATCAGGTCACAGTGTCATAGGTATTCATGATTCCACTATCATTAATTATCTAGTAATATTTTGTACATGCTAATGCTACTACAATTACAATTTTATGCTGCTGTGCTGTATTTATTTCTGAATTTTTCACCAAAAATGTTTATAGGCACGCCGGAGTTCATGGCTCCAGAACTATATGACGAGCATTACAATGAACTAGTTGATGTCTACTCATTTGGGATGTGTGTTCTAGAAATGTTTACCTCTGAATACCCATACATCGAATGTGCCAATCCAGCGCAAATCTACAAGAAAGTGACCTCGGTATGCTCTATTTCAATATAGATACTATTAAGTCATCATTTAACAAGTAGTTCTAGTTTATAAAGGCCTTCGTACGCCGCTCCATTGTTCAGGGAAAACTGCCAAGATCATTCTACCAGATTCAAGACTTGGAAACACAGAGATTTATTGGAAACTGTCTAGTAAATGCCTCAAGGAGACTTTCAGCAAGAGAACTATTGCTTCACCCATTTCTGGCTTTGGATGGTGCTAAACCATGGCCAAAGCTTGGTAGTCAGCCGGTATTTCTGAATAAAAGGGAAATGGAGAAACTGCATTTGAGGGGTAATCCTGCAAAAACAGACATGAAAATCACAGGGAAGCTGAATCCAGAAGACGAAACCATCTTTCTTAAAGTACAAACTGCAGACAGAGATGGTATGGCTCTTCTATTTAGATGTTCTATTCTAGTGCTATGTGTGTGTTAAGTTAGGGGTTGTGTAGCTCTGCTCTTATGTGTTTGAACAGTGGTAATCATTCCTTCACCGTGTTTCTTGTAGGTTCTAGCAGAAACATATATTTTCCTTTTGACATTGTGAATGATACACCATTGGATGTTGCAATGGAAATGGTAAAGGAGCTGGAGATAACCGACTGGGAGGCGTTTGAAATTGCAGAAATGATTGATGGTGAGATTTCTGGTCTAATTCCACAATGGAAGAAACCAGACTTTACTCATTGTGAAGCCTACCATACATTTAACTACCAAGAAGATGACGGGGTGCCTCATCATCCATTCAACTCTTTCTCCTCACGTTCTTCGTCCCAGCTTTCACTGTCTGGCTTGATGGCACAAGGATATAATTGTCCTCAAGGTATGGCTACCAAATTCTTTTAGCAGTCATGATCAATTAATGTCCTGTTCCTGCCAAGCACATTACAGGCCCAGTGGTAAGGGCTCTTAGTGTGATCTTGCTTCAAATCCAGGCAATGACTTCCTCTACTTGCTCTACCTTCCCATGTTTTTTTGATAGGCAAAACTTCCTTCTCCCATTTCCCCTTTTTAAATGTAAAAATTGCCCTCTATAAAAAATAAAAATTAATGTTATGCTCCTGAATCTTGTTAAATACAAAATGAAAACTACGGTAATTTTTTTGGACTCTTTTCATTTTAGATTCTTTTCTCCTCTCAAGCTTCTTCAAGTAAAAGAATGCTAGACTTAAAAAGACGTTAGAGGAGACTCTAAGAATCACTTTGCCATGTTCTTTCTGATTAATTTGAAGTTTTGGTGTTGCAGATGATTTCGTTGATGATACCAGCTCTCAAAGTTCTTCACACTCTGGAACATATTCTAACTTGAGTTACTTATGTGGGGATGATCACAAGCCTGAAGCAAGCCCCGCAAGAAGAAATATACATCCTAGTACAAGATTTTGCCCTGAAGAATGTTTAAACATTGTAAGGAATTACTGTTACTACGACCAACGCAAAGAATTGCATGGAGTTAGTTCTAAAAATAGGAGAGGCATGGAGAGCCAAAAATTAGTGAGGAACCGTTCATTGGTAGATGTGCGGAGCCAATTACTACACCAATCATTAGTGGAAGAGGTGAGAAAAAGAAGGTTGTTTAAGACAGTTGGAGCTGTAGAAAACATTGGGTTTCAGGCTCCTTGTGAGGTGGTTCCTAAGAAAACGTCACAAAGGACTTCGATACAAAAGGGTTAAATTTTTGTTCTCCCACGGCAGCAACTATGTTTTCAGGCCAAAGGAAAAAAAAAAAAGGAACAATTTTTGGTCTTGGATACAAGAAGAGTGTAAATATAATACAGGTTGTTTGTAAAGGCTGAGAGGGCCAGTTAAAAGTGATACTTAAATTGATGCTTTCTCTCTGTGCCAGCATAATAAATCTAATTAATAATTTTTGTCCAAAAGTAGAAGAAAGAGATTTGGTTCATATATCCTTTGTGGATATTGGCTTTGTTTTTCATCAATCTCATGTATGTTTCAAATCCACTCCTGAATTCTTAAAGTATCCATTAATTTTAATGGTTAATATGGGGTTAGCTAGCTACTCTGGTGTTAATATAGAGAATGCTTTATAGTTAACATCTAATTTAGCACTTCCAGGTCCAGGCGGTCATTTGACAGTGAAAACCACTTTTTCCATTCTAATGATGGTGGTGTGTTACAGCATGCATTTTTACGACGCTCATCCTGGAAAGTAAACAAAAATATATTTTTTTAGAAGAAGAAAGTAAGCACTTACAATACACCATAACCATGCCTGATGTAAATAGAGAACTATTAAGTATTTTTACTTCTCAGCATTGATATAATCTACCACAAACTAATTTATATTTACAGGAATACATTGATTTCGTACAGACAATAAGTTTTTACAAGCTTAGCTTGGTCAAGTCCAACCACATTTGCCCAAAGGCCTTGATGATGAGATCATGGTATTCCCTTCCCTTGAATTGAGTGAAACTGAAAGATAACACGCAAGAAGATCTTCCTGTTATAATATTGATATATGCTGACATGCTAATAAATGCACTAGAAAAATGCTTACTGCAACTCCCTGCAAGATCAGGTCTTCACTCAATTGTCTACTGCCTCAATACGCCATCTCTGTTGCAATGCACAATTGTCTACAACTCCATTAATGCAGCCGGCACAACGGCGATTTCTCCAAATGGTTTCACACAAAAGCCGGTTCCTTGTTTTTTTATATATATACATATGCCTTTACCGAGCTGTAAAGATGAGTTCAAGAAATGAATCAACATTTTTCATTCTTTAAAATTATCACTTCCAAATCTTTTGATGCTCAAATGTTATTCTCCAGAATCATTTCCATCATTGAATCCCTGAAGTCTCTTTGTGGATGAACTGAGGACTTAACCACTGCAAAGCTTCCATTCCTAGACGTGCATAGGCCCTAATCTTCTTACTTGCAATTCTTCGGGAATTAATTTGCTCTGAACTTTATTCCTGTACATATGTGACTTTTGTGTGTGTTGGTTTTTTGTCAAAAAGAAATGGAGAGAAAATCAGGAGGAA